TTTTTCAGGGTTTTGTAACATATTCGTAAGTTCTCTAGCACATGGCCTTTGAAATGCAATCCTTTATGTCCACTGTGTCCTCTTGAAGAATCAAAACTTTACTGTTAAAGAGAAATTCAGCTAAAGAACAGATTGTCAAAGGCTACACTAATTTTTCTACAAATGGAAATATTTTCAGTATGCTGTTGTATTGTAATACAGCTCAGAATCAGGGTCATCAATCTTGAAGTATTTCTGTCAGGCTCACAAGAGCCTACAATTAAATCTGTCTGAGAGGTCAAATTCCTTGGAATAGTCATTAAAATCCGTCTACCAAAGTAGTTACATCCTCAGTATTATGAAATAAGCTATTTGATCAGAATTATATGCAAAACCAAGTATTCTGTCACAAAGGACTAAACAAACTCAGATTAATTTATATTATCTAGAGTTTTTATATATATATATATATAAAATATATAGAGCTATATAGATATTTAGGTATATATAGATATATCTAGACATATGTATAGAGAATTTATATATGGATATAAAATGTATATATAAACTTTAGATCATGTAAATCTGAGTTAAATCTAGAATTTATATATATAGAGGGAGTTTATATATGTATAAATCCTCTATATATATATTTAGAGCTTACATATGGTAACATACATGTTTCTAGATGACAACAAGTATTCTAAGGACTAAACAAACAGATTAATTTACATTATCTAGAGTTTATATATAAAAACTCATATCTATATATAAAAACTCATATCTATATATAAAAACTCATATCTATATCTATATATAGATATAAATAGATACAGATATATATGAGTTTATAAAAATATAAATATACATATATAAACTTTAGAGTTTATGTATGATAAAAAGTATCATTCTGTCACTAAGGACTAAAATAACCAATTATTTTAAATTTTCTAGAGTTTATATATATATGCTCATCTATATATCTAGATATAGATATGCTCCATGTATATTTATATATAAACTCTAGATTTAACTCAGATTAATTTACATTATCTAGAATTTATATATATAAGAACTCTAGATATATCCAGATATCTAGATATACAGAGATATCTTTATATACATAGAGATATACAGATAGATATCTAGAGTTTATCTATTTAGATATAAATATATATATCTAGATATATATAAACTCTAGATAATGTAAATTAATCTGAGTTAAATCTAGAGTTTACGTGTAGATATGTGATCTCTAGATATATGCATTCTAGAGTTTATATGTGATAACATATATATGCTTATATATGATAACAAGTATGGGTCCATCACTAAGGACTAAACCAACTCAGATTAATTTACATTCTTTAGAATATAGATAGATATTTATATGTATAAAACTATATATATAAACTCTAGATATAGATATGTAAACTCTGGATTTAACTCAGGTAAATTTACATTATCTAGGGTTTTTTTATATATATATATATATATGAACTCTACATATATCTAGATTTCTGTATCTATATAAACTAGATATCTATAGATACATGTATATAAACTCTAGATAATGCAAGTTAATCTGAGTTAAATCTAGAGTTTATATATATGTGTGTGTATATATGTGTGTGTGTGTATATATATATATATATATATATATATATATATATAAAAATTCTAGATAATGTAAGTTAACCTGAGTTGGTTTAGTCCTTAGTGACAGAATGTATCATTCGTTACAGGCACTGAGTTACCATATTAATATTTGGGGAATTTAAAAGAATGACTCATTTCTTTTGAAATTCAGCTTTAATATCTCAGTGTGAAAACTATTCATATACGCTGTAATACTTAGTGCTCAGGTGTAAAGTAAAAAACAAATTAGATTTACAAAAAGTGGCTATTAGTGCATCAAGTTAAATTCTATTTTGTATATAGAACAACTCAAATGCTGCAAGAAAATAATACCCGTGAGTGGTCGTTTGACTTTAGAATAATTCTTTTGAGTTTCACTCTTAAAAGTTTTGTGTCTTATAAAATATAATCAGGTGGGTTTTGATCTGACTACTCGAGGAAAGAAGGCAGGGAACTACCTGTGGGAAAGAGTTTAAAGTGGGGGGGGGGGGGGGGGAGAGACAGGGAAAATAAGCAACATAAGAACATGCACAGGGTGTTTAAAACCAGTGTTAAATGCTGGAACTTTCAGCATCAAAGTGTAGCACAGTCCACCTAAGCAGCAGTTGCCTCCACTAGGTGACAGCAACAGTAAATTGTTTTCCTTAATGCATTTAGAAAAGATTTTAATCATTGATTGTGTCACTGAAATGACCTGTTTTCTGGGAAACCAATTTGAGGCATCTTAAGAGGTTCATATTAGCCAAGCTTTCAGAAGGCAAAGGTAACTTCAAGGTATTTTAAAGTGTACAGCCAAAGGCATGCTACTTCCTTTGAAAATTACAGTCTCAGATAGATCGTTAATGAACAAAAACACCCAAATAGATGTACTTGGACAAAGCCACTATTGTCCAAACTGCAGGTACAGAAATGGTACAAACCGCATTTCAAAATCATGCCTCAAGTTAAAAGAGCAAAAAAAAATCTGTCAGATATTTTTTACACTAGAGACATGTTACAGTAAATCAGCCCTGTGTAGATTTGAATACTCACTAAGACTACATTTGTCTAACAATTTATTGTGAAATATTTGCATATTCTTGGCAATATATTGAAGGTACAAATTGTCTTTTACCATCGTTGAGTTTCATCAGAGTTTGTTCTAATTGATCAGCCAAGTCTTAAGATACATGCTTTTATCTGGCTGTATTTAATGAAGGATCATAAATGGATAATGCAACTTCAGAAATAACATCTATGTGCCATTCTGATTTTCTTTCCTTCTGTTTTTTTTTTTCAATGTAGTCTTCTGAATCAGGACGTTTACAAAGGCTTTTGTTGCTTTTGCATCTGACATGCAGTAACAGTCAATTACCTCAACTATTATTTGCTAATAAATCACTGCTACCAATTAAATTAAAGTCATGCTTTTATTCTGTATTTATTTGAAGCACCCAGTCAACCACCAGGAAATGTTGTGTGGAATGTCACCGACTCCAGAGTAATCCTCAGCTGGGAAGAAGTGAGAGCTATGGAGAATGAGTCTGAAGTGATTGGGTATAAGGTAAGTGAAAACAGACTCAGAAACTATCTGAAAGTTCTTGTCTCTTTTCAAGGCAGCAAGTTCAGTGGATGCACAATACCACATCTAAACCACTTCAGTAGTGTCTCCTTTTTATAGATTTTACATCATGTTCTAACAATTCACAAGCAGCGGCTCTTTTACCATTAGTGGTACACTTAATACCTTCTCCTTACACAAACAAAACTGGGAGCTGCAGGTATAGTTGCCAGTTCTTGAGATTCCACTTATCCAGATATATAACACTTGACTGTCACAACATATATAACAATACTTATCACATGTAACATGTATGTATCCAAGTGTATAATATTTTGAAAGAAACCAAGTAAATCCAAAATTTAGATGATAGGTATAATTCCCATTGCTGGCCAAGTATATTTATTAGTACCACATTTAACAAACTGATATTCTAAACTCTTTTCTTCTTACCTACTGTGGGACATTCTCATTGTCTTGATACATTGCTCCATCTATTGTAGATCTGACTGGTGCACAAACATGCAAGTAATTAAATGCCATATATAAGAGAATAGCAAGGATGTTCTTCAAGACCTGCATACAGTTGGAGCCTACATGATACATTCCTGCATAAAAAAGTTATGCTGAAGATCTGAATACACAGTATTCTGAGTAGTATGGACAAGAACGACATGTTTACAGCTCAGATGAGCCATCTAGTTTCATAGATGGTAGCTGACCCAAAAAACACACCATCAAGAGTCTCAAACTGCATACTCTGCCTCCCAAAACAATTTCAGGTTCCTTTGCGTAACAAACATTGCTAAGTACACAAGGATAAGCAGAATTTTGATAAAGCTGGTTAATTTTACTGAATGAATTTACATAGTCCACTTACATAAGACATAGAATGCAGTGAAGTTTCATGACAGAGTAGTCATTAAGCAGTTGGGGAGCATCGTCCAACATAGTCTGTAACACTGATTAGTTCCCTCCTTCCCAAACTACATAGTGGTGATATGAAGCTGATCTAGATAATGACAGACTGCAAACAGTGGGATAATTTATAGAGCAACACATTAGGGTACTCAACAGAATATATTATTTGTAGTCAGTAGAATCATAGAATGGTTTGGGTTTGAAGAGACCTTAAAGCTCATCCATTTCCAACTCCTCTGCTATAAGCAGGGACACCTTCCTCTAGACCAGGTTGCTCTAAGCCCCATCCAACCTGGCCTTGAGCACTATCAAGGATGGGGCACAGCCCCTGCTTCTCTGGGCAACCTGGGCTAGTGACTCACCACCTCTTATATTACATTATTTAATAATAACAATAATAATTATAATAACAAAACAAATTATATAAAATGTATAATGAAATAATATGTTGTCATTATAAATTGTGCCATTTTTTATTAAAGTTAGAATAAAAGCACTTGATTGATGTTACCTTCTTTCTTTAAATGCAGTTCTGCCGTAGTATATATGTTAACCAAAAATCAGGTCTTTTCTCTCACCCCATCTTTTTAAAGACTGAAACCTTGTTCTAAGAAATAAATATAAATTGCAGGGCAGGTCCTACGGGAAGATGTCACACTACAGCTCTTTGCTTGTATTGCAGGTTCTGTACAGGACCATCAGTCAGAGCAATATGAACGTGCTGAACACAGACAAGACAACAGCTGAACTTGTGCTCCAGTTTAATGAAGATTACATTATAGAAGTAAAAGCAACAACAGAAGGTGGAGATGGCACTAGCAGCGATCAGATCCTGATTCCCAGGCTAGCTAGTAGGTTAAAACTGAATCTCTTATTATTTTGTTGCTGCTTATATAGGCTCCCCAGCCAATGACAGCCCTCTCTATACTGGCCATAGTACAGATGCATCTCTGCCTTAGTGTAGTGAATCATTACTAAATGTGCAGTTGACACCCAGCAGCTGTCACAGCTTGTCTTTGCAGGAATTCAGTACTTACTGATGGGGAGAAGAAAAGAATACTTGTATGTTGCATGGTAATAAGGTAATAAGGAGAAAGGCAGTTACGGTTTTTCATGCACTTTATGCATGACAAACTTCCTTCTATTGGCCTGGTAAATTATAATGTAGATTGGTATTAAAAACATTAGATTTTGATTTTTTTACCTTTTTTTTCTTAGTATTACCTTGAAAGTAAGGATCATTTGTACAGTTTCAGTGTTTTGCAAGGCATTTCTATAGTTTTACAATATTTACTGTAGTTCTGGTAAATCTATTCTAAATTTTCATTGCTTGTCAGAAATAAAAATATACAATAAAATTTTTGCTTAGTATCTAGAAAGAATACTAATTTGGCATAGACAAAACTCATGCTTTCATTTAACCCATACCTTTTTCCTTTGTCACAGGTATGGATGCAAGAGGTTCTGGTCCATCCGTCTTGAGTATCTTCAGTGTATCCAGCTTCTTTCTAATGCTATTTTCCCTGACTCTTAATTCAGTGTTGTGATGATACATTTTCATTTGCTGGGGAAAAAAAAAAAGGAATTGGTTACTACAGAAAAGTGCTTTTTTTTAAAAGAAATCTGCAGTGTTTAGTGCATGTTTTTCTTCTATCCTGACGTATTTTTAAATTCTTTGTATTTCACTGTAGGTTGAATTAAAAATACCATGTAAAGTTTAGCAAATCCTTTAAAGAGGACTCTAAAATGCCTTAATACTTGAACCAAAGCAGTTTACATATTACATACTTCAGATACAATGTGAGGGAGAGCAATGGCACTGTGGTCAGAGTTTCAGGGGAGAGCTTAGCTCAGTGAGAAACTCCATTTCTGCAGTGATGGTGTTTTGGGTATGTTCTGCATTGTTAGGATAACATCATTCTACATACAAAAGATAAAATCGGAGACACAGTGCTTCTATCAGATAGATAGTAACAAACACATGCACCAAGTAGCTGTTCTTAAGCCAGTGTCAGAATCCAGTAGGTTTGGATCAGTTTTCCTACTGCCCATTCTATAAGTAATTCTAAATACAGCAAGAAATCAAAGCTGGAAGATAGAGAAAAATCACAGTATGGATGTTAGTTCTGCACAGTCCACATTGGGATGTCTGAGAGGTAGGGCTTCCACTACTGCTCTTAAGAAATGATTTCACAGCTCTCTGCTTTATCACAGCATGTATTTATGTACCTTTTCAAACACCTAACCTTCCTCTCCATCAATAGATTTTGAAGTTAGTTATTTATATCCCCACATTGTATTTCTTAACCAGGTTCTTTATTCATAACCAAATTCCCCCAACTTCAGAATCATTTTTATTGCCCTTTTCTGAACTCCTGCCAGTGTGTTTCACTAACAAAAGTGCCCAGTTGTAAGCATTACTTAAAATGCAGTTGCACCATGGCCTTACGAAAAGGAATTACTACCACCTCCCTACTTTGTCATGTGGTGCTTCCAAATATATGCAGCCCTGAATTATTTTGCTCTTTTGTCTATTGCACCACACTGTAAATGCATCCTTAATTCAGTGTCTCATTCATAACTCCCCTTCCTGATGCTTTTTAACTAATTCACAATATTTCACCTGGTCTGGCACTCTGATTCACCCCATTAATGTCATACAGTTTAGTAAGTTTGTGGCAATATTGTAGGTTATAATAAAAAATAACACAAGGACACTTCAGGCTTGCTGTTATGGAGAAATCTATGCTTTCTTTCATAGCAATACATTAATGATACATTAAACCTGGTCCATTTGACTTCCATAGTTGTGAATTTAGTCAAATCAGCCTTTGAGACACGTTTTAGAGAGCTGCCTACATACATGGCAGAGCACAAGTGTTCATGACATAAAACCATATCCTTTTAATGACTTATCTTTCTTTAAAGTCTCACAGTACTATATTACAACACACAGAACTATAAAAGGAGAGAACCAGGATTAATGAAATTACAGTAGCACTGTAGAAAAAATATACCTTATATGCAGTCAAATAGCAAATTACCTTATTAGTATCACATCCAGATGGAGATACGTGCTAACTGTTGAAGCAAGCAAGATCTGTATATACTGTACATACATAGTTATAAATGGCTAGTTGCTTTTCAATGTGGCTAACCAGTGATGTTTTCGGACACTTGCAAATGGGGTGGGGGGGAGTGGGGGGGAGATGGAAAAACAGGTGTTACTAGTAAGTATATAGTTATGTTTCATGCAACAAAGGGTGACTCTTTCTATTGTTTCACAAAATTCTAGTCCAAGTTCCTGTATTGCCATTTTCACGCAGTTTACATTGTATTAGTTAATTTCTAGTTATATATCTCCATGAGATATGTACCAAGTACCTTGTTTCATATTGAAAAGTTTGAAATTTATCCTTAAACTTCCAGTTGTGTGTGTATCCTATGGTTATCTGTATGCATTTTTTCTATTACTCTAATAAAATATTTATTACATTGAGGGATACTAAAATATTTCAAAGTATTATTGCTTGTTTGGATTCTGTGTTTCCACACATGGGATTTACTGCATCTAAAAATGATACTTACAGCATCTTCATGATATTTCTGCTAACTGGTTCTTCTTGGCAGCATAGGATCTTCTGTTCTGGTAGTTCTGCTGCAAAGAGACTAAAATCCCAACCCATATACCCAGGCTTACCTGTACAGAAAGCAGGGCAGGAGGGAGAAGGAAAGAGTGAGGATGTAAATACATCCCAGTCTTGTCCCGGAGGCAGACACATGGCAGAGACCAAAGGCTGTGTGTGAACTTATGAGGTTTTCCTCTGCCTGCAGGCTTGCAGCCCTGGAGAAAAAGCCGCTTCTTTCCCATCTATCCAATTAGGCTGTTTACAATGAAAAAAAAGTATGTAATTATATTGAAGAATTAGTCCTTTATAATAATTTATTTAGTGCCTCAACTCTCTGGTATTAAATTGTATGGCCTGTTTTCCCCTGCAAATTGCCTATTCCTTACATATTGCAGCTTCCCATTTTAAAGCCCAAGACTTCCTAGCATTAAAACCTTCTCACTGAGAACACAGACAAATCTGAACTATGTATTTCAAGCTTTTAGAGCATTGCTTCTACCTACCTAATAGGGAGCTGATCCAAATGCTGCAGTAAGAGTTAGTTAATAGCAATCTCAACACGTTTACAAATGTATATGCAAGACTGAAGTAATTTTTCTCGAGTAAAGAGGGTTTTAGTGGACACCAGCCTTGCCCTGTGTTTAGATTAGTCTTCCATTAAGCTGACCTCTCTGTTCCATCACCTTATGTTGATTTGGTCAATGTTTAGTTGTGGTAATAGCACAGACTTGATTCTGTAAGTCAAAGTAAGTTGTCACTGGGAAAGGATAGAGGAAAAGGTGAAGAGCTGGTAAAGGATGAGGGGAGAGGTTTCTGAGCATACCATGTGCAAGCTTTTCCAGAGCAGCTTCTGTAACTAACCAAGGTTTGCAATTCAGTCCTGGGGAGGAGAAAGAAAAAGAATCACTAATGAAAATGTGAGTAACATCAATCACTTGTGTGACTGGAACTGCGGATGGTGGGAGGGTATTTCTGCCATTCTTCTTGTACTTGCACCAAAAATAGCCAACATTTTATCACTTACAATTGCTATTATGCAAAATCGAGTAAGAAAGAACAGTTGGACTGAGTCATAGTTTTTAGGGAAACAAACGCTATTGTCAAGTACATTCTTTTCAATACCTAGAAGTGTAGCTGTATTCCTCCATGCTGGACAGTAACACCAGAGGCTCCCAAAGCACGAAGCCAGAAGCTGGGGGGAGTGGGACAGGCAAGCCCCAGGACAGATGAGCCAAGCCTTTCTCTGGCTCCTGTAGGGTGAGAGGTGCGTGCTGCACCCCCACAGCAGCATCACCACAGAGGCATCCACAGTGCAACACAACACTGGGCAACCCGCTGGATGTTTTCTGGACAATGAATCAAACCGTCCTTGTGGAAAGGAGAAAAGATACAGGAATCCTGCCACCAGCTGGATACACGCTCCAAAGAAAAAGGAATTGAAACTGCTTAAAAAAATATCTATGTTTGCAACTGGGTGTGCCTCCTCTAGAAGCAAGAACGGCTTCTGTGGGAAGCCAGTACCAGAGGCTATAGGTGTGCAGTGCTTTAAGACTGGGAGGTCTGGAGGGCAAGCGCTGTTTGTGAGGTTATTTTAAGTTCAAAGTTTCTCACCCTGCACCCCTCTTCTCCCAAGATTTGTTTTCTAAAGGGTTTATTGTGCTTCAAATGTGATTTTTCCATTCTCACCTGACAACTGTTCATAAGCAGGGTCTCAATGACACCTCCTTGTGCTTCCAAAGTCTGACTTCCTCAGAGATAGCTGGTATAAGAATTAAAACACCCACACTTTTTATTTGCACAGTTTACTCTATCAGATGTGTTGTGAACACACATAGGATCCTCTATGAATACAAAATGAGTTAAAAACTAGTATTACTTTAGCCCTAAGAAATACTGGAGATTTACATTTTTTACTTAATTTGCCTTCCACTGGTGGAATGCAGACATGGGCAGTGCCTGTCAGGTTATATATGTTATGAGGGAGTGCATTAATCTGACAGCTTTCTGACCGAAATAAGTAACAATGGAAAATTGTGAAAATAAAATGAGTTTGTAAACAGGCACTTACTCTCTTAGGAAAAACAACCTCCTCGATTGTTTTATGCTAATGCTTTGAACTCCTGAAAAGCAATAAAAAAGGATATGTTTAGCAGAGATATAACAATCTGTGTTAATTCTGTTTTATCAAGCCTGTTTTATAAGAAGAGGCACTGCTTTCAATCTGATGCATACATATGCAAGCTGCAACATGATTGGGGGTGGGGGGAGTACAGCACTTCAGTGTATCTCTAGATACCAGTCTTACCCTCTCAGAGAAGAGTTTTTCTGCAAAGACTTCTCAGAGTTCATAGCTGCCTCCCTGGTGTGCATACAGCCTTGGTCTCACCAGGAAGCAAGATGTGAATCCTATAGAAAGGGACAGATATTTATCTTTTTCCAAATTCAACAGCTATTTCAACTGCCAAAGCAAGCAGAGCCTGCCTGCACTCTGTGCACGCAGGAGCTGTTTCTCAGAGGTGCTAGTAATGTCTCACCTTTGGCTTGGAAGTGTTTCCCAAGGTCAGCTAAGGATGTAGACACCTTGATAGTAGTGCCAGTGGGACTGGTCACTGCTGCACCAGCTGGCTGCAGGATGAAGAGCTGCAGCTGACACTTCCTTGGTGGCATCCTCTCTTTCATTCCTCCCACACAGCCGCTGTCTTGCCTCTGCTGCTCTCTTCTTCTGACACTCACAGTAGGTCTGATCAGCAGGTAGCATCTCATCTTTCCAAGAGGAATACATGTATCTCTAGGAGGTAGTCTCAGAGTAGATATATCTGTCTGGGCATACACCTGCCACAAAAGCAGACTGGCAGTAAAACATAGCCCCAGGCTGTCACCAATTTTGAGTCTATTTTCATATTTTCCTGTTGCTGACAGTGGTTGTATGTTGCCAGACTACTGACTCTGTCCTGCCTCTTGTTAGGTGCATCAAAAAGCTCCCCTCCTCAAGAGTCTGGCATTTTGATAGACAGACACTCACTTTTCCTTCCATAGGTCCTCTACACCAGCTTTAACTGCCACATTGCAGTGTCTGCAGCGGTACTTGCTGTAATACACACCACGCTTTTCATTTGCTTTGGTTTTGAACACTTTGGTTTGAGACTTTCCAGTTTGTGAATGAGTTTTCGTAATAGAATTTCACAAGACCTCATGTGCATTTTTCTTTTGTCTTTTTCCCACCCTTAGGGGTCAAGAAAACTTGATAAACTCATTTGGTATTAAATTTCTTTTTCTGAACTGCTCGCTGATCTTCTTGAGATCAGGAAGTATCTTTGAAAGTCTCTTAATGCACAAATACATGAGACATGCCAGTAACCCTATGTAGTGTTACTAAGACACTTTCTTCCCAATGTACCTAAGATTATGTTCTTACCCTTCAAAAGCATAGTAAGTCTTGTGAGATCTGGACTGTGCTGTTCTCCGCGCTGTGCTCTTCATTCCATCTTGGCGATTAATTCCCCTTGGGCAGGAGAACATCAAGGCATCGGCAAATGCTGAAAAAGGAAGAACCAAAAGCATCCCATTAGGCACCAACAGAAAGGATGTAACTTCCAAGATGTTCATTAAATCAGCTCATGATAATTTAAACTCAAAGCATCTCCTAGGGCAGGGAGACATCCCAGAACCATCCATCAGGAAAGAGTAACTGCCGAAACATTCCAGCTCCTGGCTGCCCACTTAGCTTCCAGCCTCCCATACCCCATTCCCCTCAGGGTTCAGAATGACCCAGCTGCAAGTGGAGAAGGAACACTGAATTGCTTCCCCTGCTCCATTACCAGCTGAAGGTGCAGGATGGGAATCCTCCAGCTGCACACAGGGAGGGTTCGCATGCCCTTGGTCAGAGGTGGGACTGGAAGCCAGCTACCAAACCATCTGGCCATTAATGAAAATGCAAACATAAAAACACTGCCTTTGAATGAAAGCAACTGGCAGCTGTGCTCCAGAGTGACAGCATGCAGCATCCTCCTGCTCCGAGACTGGAGCGGCCTTGGACACAGAGTTACAGTACACCAGGGCACTTCAGAGCACACACAGGGACCTGTTTGTAGGCACTCTGAACTCACTGCTCTGCAGCCAAAAATAGGAGGGCAGATTGATTTCTTTTGTCACCTCAGGGAAGGTACCGTGAGTGCTCCTGAGGTTTGAGCATATAAATACATTACCCATGCCCATTAATTTAGATAGAATATTGACAGGAAGGAAAGGCATTCATTGGGATTAATCTCCTGGGGGATTTCATTTTTAGAGGATCTTTCAGTTTTATGCTGGAACACAAGCAATGACCTGTTCCATCAGCTAAAGACATAAAAGGAAAACAGAGAAAATAAGGGAAATCCCTCTCTTTCATTCCCTCTATGATACAAATAATATATCACTTTTCCCAACTGAAGCCCTGTAAAAGGAGCCTATCAAAAGGGACGTGTGTTTAACAAGAGTTGCTCTCATTAGCAATCCGAGGAGGGTCATGGTTAAAGCAGGCACATAATTTAATTGTAGTCACAATTCCTAACATTGCCACCAAACTGAGGCAGTTAAAGTTACACTTGTCACAACACTAATTATCTGTTTGAACAGCAGAGCTCTCAGCTGATGGAATGAGCTGTTCTGCAGTGAGAACAGATCATTTCATCAGCTGCATCTGACTGTCATTACTTTGTGGATGTAGGATGTAAATTGACTATAACGACAGAAAATATGGCTTTGGTACCTTTACAGCAGCTTCATACGAGACAGAGGGGAACTCTTCTGCTGCAGCCAAAAGATTCTGGTCATGTACTGGAAAACAGTGTCTCAGTGCTGCCTTGGAAACATGAAAAATAAAGCACTATTAATTACCTATTTTCAAGCAACCAGAGTATCCAGTGCTGAGGGCCTGATCCAAGGCTAATGAAACCCTTACCCCAGCTTCAGCAAGCTTTGATCGGTCAGCCCTTCAAAACAAAAGGACCAAGGCAGAACTTCTGCTATATAGTTCTTTCTGCCCAAAATACTGCCAAATAACAAAGTCCCTACAATTATATCCTCTGTATAATCATTTTTACTGTTATTTAAATGTTTTTTAACTACGCACTGCTTGCTTCTTTTCCTCCCATCTCTACAAAACAGATGAAGACTAGAATCAACCTCTTCTTGAGGGAGTTTGAAGTTATCCTAAAATTTTCTTTTGGAAAGACTGTTCACTCCCCTGCCAGCAGAGCCCACAGCCATCAGCTAAAACTCCAGCCACAAAGGTAAGGAAAGATAAAAGTAATTCCATAAAATCTTCCTAATTTTACCAGGAATCCTTCTCAGTTATGAATTATGCAAAGTGTCCCTTCTCTTTCATTTCCAGTGAATACTAATCTTTGTCTACCAACCCAAGCATTAGAGTATTCTAATTTTATTCTAATAGAGTAATTCTAATTGGAGAACCTAATTTTAGAGTATTCTCCACTCATTCACATTCACAAGGTTGACCATCTTTGCTAAAGGACTTTGATTATCTGCTTTCAGATTTGGGCCAGGTTTAGCACAGCAGTACTTGACACCACTACATGTATTTCATCAAATAGATGCTGAATTGGGCTGAAATCCCATTCAAAGATGGGCACCCACATGGATAAACAGCAGAGCCAGAGGCTCCACTATTTGCAGCTGGGTGGAATGGCTGCATGTGCAATGGGCAGAGAAGGGGCACGCAGCACAGCCTGGGCAAGTGCAAGCATGTGGGACCTTGCAGCACTGCTGACTGCTCCTTCTAGGTCTAGCAGGGGGGCACAGTAAAGCCATATCAGCACACAGCTCCCTGCTGCTCTGTGATGGGCACACTCATCCACACCAACCCCTCCTTGTCTCCACAGGCATGGCCTAGCTCCAGCCTCACCTTCACATCAGCTGGCACTGAAAAGGGCACAGTTCAGCCAGAAACCCAAAGATGACTTCACCTCTTAACCCTAGGCATCTGACTCATCTAATTCCAGCCATACCTACAGCTTTTCCATCATATATACACACTGTCATAGAACCACAGAATCATCAAGGTTAGAAAAGACCTTTCAGATTACCGAGTCCATCTGTCAACCTAACACAGCCAAGCCCACCACTAAAGTCCACCACCGAACCATGTCTCTGTAAGGTACTCTGCCCCACAAGCATTGGCATTTAGATATACATGAAGTGGAAGCCCAATTTCAGGGCTTGTAGGCAAAATGTGCCAGCAGCATTTCAAACTGCTTCCTCCACTTCGGAGCTTAATGAGCAAAACACACTGGAGGCTGTGACTTCTCCCAAGTCTCTTGCAGCTTCTTCCCCTCCTGAGCTGCTCCACTGCATACTTCTGAAGAAGCATAATTAACATTTTAAGCAAAGTTATCCACCAGGAACGCACACTTGTGGAGAAAATCATCTACAACCAGACTCAGACTGTCCCTTTCCTCTGCTGACACTGTTCAACAGCTACAGCTGAAAGGGGTCATATAGGACACTGGTGACACTGTTCAACAGCTACAGCTGAAAGGGGTCATATAGGACACTGGTGATGGTCCCCACAGGTCAGTGTGTGTGTGTGTGTGTGTGTGTGTGTGTGCGCGCACGCTGGGGAAAGCTGCAGATCCAGCCCTACAGACATCCAACATCTGGCCATACCCTGTACCACCACCACAGCCCAGGGGACAGAATCTGGAGATCCTGCCCACAGCACAGGGATGAGGCACAGCCATGTCCTAGGCTGCTGGAAAAGCACCGCTTTCATCATTTAACACTATGCAAATGTGGAAAACACTATTTTTACATTTGGCCACAGCTATTTTAAGCAAAAAACTGCTTATAAAGTCTCCACAAGATGTTTTCCTTTCGTTAGCCACCCATTTCTAAATGGGCTATATTGGCAATTCTGAGTTTTCTTTTCTCTCTCCAATTTCCTCAAGAATACTGCCACTGGCAATCTCCATAAATCTCTTTTGACTCTTTCTTAAGGTTAAACTGACTGCAAGAAAGCTGGATCAAAGGAAAAGAAACATTTCATTCTAGAAGCACAGAAATATTTACATAACACAAGATAAGTTAGAACTCCTCATTTCTGCCACACAGACTTGCTTGTAGAAAGATTATAGAAATAGAGCATTTTTAGTGCAGTTGGGGAGGGGAGGAAAAGAGGTACGTTATAGCTCATTTAAGAGAACAGAGACAAGGCTAGCAATTAGCATAGTTTGTAATGCGTCTAACTGAAAAGATAGAGTTTTCAGGGTTTCCTGCCTGAAGGAGAAGAATCCTTTGGAGCCATTTTGATGCTCAAGAGGAAAAGAGAATAAAGCATCTCACTGCAGGCTGGGGCTGACACGTTCTACAAGCAGCAAACCAAGGACCACAAGGAGCCTGGCTAAATAAGCCAAAGGTGCAAATATCAAATGATAAAGCTATCAACTGGGAAATGACTGCCAGAACAATTGGATTTGAGCAGGCAGCCCTCAGAAAGCAAGACAAGAGCCTCATTTCAATATCCTCTTCTGAGCTGCTCTCTGAGCTCCACAGCTGTGGCCACAGATTTTGGCAGCAGTCTACTAATAGGACTGATGAGAGAGAACACAAATTGACTTAGGGTTAGTCATTGCAGAGCAATAATAAAAATGAGATGAGAGACCTTTTTTTATAACATATTTCTCAAGAATTGTCCTCTTTTTTGGCCAGCTCTAGTAAATTCAGAATACTGGGAAGTTCAATACACTTACCAATATTTATTCTAACGAGTTCATCATCTCATGGATGCACAAGAACCAAACCCATCAACGTTTCAATATCAAACACCCACTTTTGGCTGCCCTGCCCGCAGAGGAGCAGAGCTATCTGTTCTGCTATTAATTAGCTATCCTCCAGGAAGAAATGAGAAAGGCCGTGTTTTAAATTGGACCCATCTGGTAAAGACTTTCTTGAAAAGATGAGACTTACGTCATGTTTTGGAGCTTTCACAGGCAGAGGTTTCCCAGCAGAGGCCATCTGTCCTTGATAACTGCTGCCAGGCCTCAGGATTATCAATTAGTCCATAATGATTGCTTATATGAAAAAAGTGTCAGCAAGGCCAGGAGGCTGACCCCCGAATAGAAACATCATGGGGGAGTCTAACAAAACCTGAGGTACTGAGACAAGGAGCAGCTCATCACTTCCCAGCATCTCCTTTTCCTTCAGGGAAATAGCAGGTCTCTTCCTTGAGTTCAAGAACTGAGATGCTGCCGATTGTGGCCACTTTCCTACTTCACTGGAGTATGTGCTAAAAAGTGTGCAGTAGGTTCAGGTCCCTCCCCTGTCCAAGGGGTTTTCACCCAGTATCTCAGCCTCATGGATGAGAGCCCTCCCTTACACCTACCTACAACTTACACTTACCCTATAACTCCCAGCTGCACATTCGGGATAAAAGCCCAGCTTTTAGAGATAAAGGTACCATGATCTCTACACCCAGATAATGTGCTAACTGGGCTCTGTTACTTACAGCCCATAGCATGGGCACAGCCTTAGCTTCAAGAGTAAATTGCCACAAACTGCACTTCCCAAATTGCAGAGAAGTCTCAGACCACAGCCAGGCTTGGATCTGTTTTTAACCCCTATTCTATGTAGTTTCAATTCATTTCCAGCATGCCATGTTCTCTAGTCTCTGTTCACAGCACAGCTGAAACGCAGCTGACAAGTCCTGCCGTTACTAAAGCTGCTTCTCTCTCACGGCTCTTATCAAGGCAGCACAGGGCTGGGACCAGCTTGTAAGGGGAGAACTTGCTTACACAATTTACGGTGTCTCTTGTTGCCAAAATAACCACACAAGCTTAAAAAAATATAACTAGACATAGTGAGGAACAATACGCTTAAAATGTTGAATTATATGGTAGCGGCATAGAATGGGAAATACTCAAAAACAGAAGAGAATAAAAATGTAAGGGATTAGAGAAGTGTCAAACATCGGCTGTATTTCACAGCTCAATAGTGCATCAGATATTGCTTTAAAGACAGAAGATGATGATGTCGAGGTGGCTCAGGGAATACATTTGAAGTGCCAAATAGGCATTACAGCAGCAAGCAGACTCCACTGGTGGTGTGCCACACCTGGAACCTCTAGGGAGAGGACCTGCCTGACAGCTGCTGTATATGGGCTTCACCAGCATTAGCAATAAGAAAACAAAGTGTTGGACATCTATTTCTCTCTGTGTGCAGAACACTTAAGTTATGTGAGCACCGTAACTTATAGGCAGAGAACGAAAGTGAATGTTGGAACTAGGTGATCTTAAGGTCCTCTCCAACTCTAATTATTCTATGATTCTATGTGTCAAAGGTCACTAGAGCATCAGTGTTCACAGAGTGAAAATCTTCATCTGCACACCTATGGCAGGACAGGAGCTCTGGCTCCTGACTTCAAGATTTACTCGCTTAAACAGATGAGGACAAATAAAGTATAGACACAGAAAACTGAGGGAGCAGGGGGCTGTTTTCTAAACACCAGGAGCAGAGAAGCTGCTGACTGCCAGGTTGCGGATGGACACACACATTTTAGAAATTACATTCCAAGTTGTAGGGATGGGGGTTTTACCACGTCATTTGGATTTCTGTGGGAAACTTTTCCTCAGAGAGCCTCTTTTCACAGAAACAGCAGGGCATGCAGCTGTAACAGCGTGAAATGAGAGATCCTGAAAAGCAGCGCCGTTCCACAGGAAGCCCTGCATTTGCATGTTAAGCTACATCTATTCCCTGAATGCTCAGACACATGAAAGCAACCCCAGATTTTCGTTAGCATCAGATCTTTCAGCCTCAGCCTGAATTTAAAGCTCATGCGTGTTTAGAGCTTTTTCTGCACTTAGCTGGAGCAACATTACACAGATCTCCATAGGAAGAGCAGTGAGGGAAGCGCCAGCTTAGCCATGCTGGGATGTCAGGGTCACAATCCCGTCCGTAGCCAACAGTGTCTGACATCAGCCCCCGTTCCCAGTGACGATGGCCCCGATACTGGGATGTTGTATGAGAGACACTTCTCTGATATCAGTGACCTTAACAAGACCTTTTTAGCACTTGTCAGGGCTATGACAGCTAAACCTTTTTAGGCATGTAAATGCAGTGCAAGCAGAAAGCAACCGCATGAAACCCCATGTCCTTTTCACTAAACACAGCCCTGATGGCAGTTCAAGACATTTAACATCTTCAGAAATCAAATTTATTTTTTATTAGGCTGTAGGTTTCCTACCTGATGTGGCAATTCTGCTCCTCA